AAGTGCAATTTTAATACAATTTGAATTGAGAGATTCTATGCTAGTTATGTGACCATAAATCTGTATGATTTTGGCTCTGCGAAACCAGTTCGTTCCTTCCCTTTTCCTTCCGACCCTTCTCGAGTGAAAACTTTTGCAAGTGCCTTCCAGTTCCATGGGGTACTTTACAATGCATTAAAAAAAACTCACCTTCACTGGACAAGGGTGATGAAAGTTGTTCGAGTACGATTCCTATAGGTACCAATAGTCTCTTCTGGTATGGCAATGCGGCGTGGAAGCGGCCCGTACAGGAGAAGGAATAACGTTAAATCTTGTTCTATAGGCAGGATGGAGATTGTAGTACAGGCAGCTTCACGTCCAATAAGTGCTTTCCGTTACTAGATGATGTAGGTCCAAGTGGGTAGGCCTAAGCCGTATTGAAATGCCTGAAATGAGACCTGAGGATTTACTTGTCGCCTTTCTCATAGAAAACTTTGATATCGCTCTGTTTAACACGATAATGTCTAGAACTGGTTTTCAACGGAACTATTATGACATTATTAAATTTGTCTTGGAACAATGTTTCAGAATCTATACAGTATGGTTTCCTCTTTCTGCGTTATAATTGTCAGATATTTTTGAGGGAGACCTCTCCTTACAATCACAACATTCATAGAAAGTATCGAAAAACAAGGGTGAATCGCAGACGTAGCTTATGGCGTTGCTATCGTGTCAGGCCGAGGTTTTAGGGGAACTCCTCTTGAATTTGGACGCCCTAACATCGAAGCTTGACCCTTTCCTTCAGAATCCCAATTCGGATCAGGGCCTGTACACCAATCCAGAAATGCACCATTCGTTCGCAGTTCCAACGATTTGTCCGGAATTTGACAAAAGGTGAAGTTGTTGTGGGAGGGCATCATTCGTTTTAATGTCCTTGTCTGCGTTCTATCAGTGTGGTGGCATCCTACTGGCCGATTCATCTTCCCTTACAATTTTGAGCGTGAAGTCAGCATTTCACTGAAGTCAGCATTTCACTCAGCGTGGTGCTCCTCCCCTTTTTAAACTTGGATCTACGACCCAATCCCCTGACTGAGAAACTTCCTAAGCACCTCTGAAAACCCGAAAGTTGGTACCTTTCCTTCTCTACCTTTACTAATTAGCGGTAGAGGCGCAGAACTCCCTGCAATGGTTTTCTCCAGCGACATTTCACCCGAGGAAACAATCTCATCCATAGTTTACTAAGGAAAATGAGAACACATGTATGACACAGCTCTCGTCGAGGTTCGACGGACTCCTCAAAACAGTTGGCAACAGCAGCACTGGATCAGTCAAGCAAGGAAGCGTGCACGATAGGTTCTCCTTCAATGATGCGTAGTGCTAATTCAAATTCAAATTCGTGGTAGGACTCGTCCGGGTAGATTTTTGACCAGCTTGGTGGGAATTCGGCCTGTCCTCCCTCTGCTTTTCAAGTTTTTATCCCTACTATGGATTTCCTTCTATCTATACAATGATGAACGTCCATGCTTTTTCACCACCGCCAATTCAGAGGCTATTAAGTCATTATACACAGGCATCAGACTCTCTACTGCTGACCAACTTCGATGTCAGTTTTTTGATGGCTTTCCAAATGCCCTTTTACTTCAGACTGACTTGAAGCAGCCTTCGGAAGGCTGACCGGGGTGTTTCTTGCAAGATCCACTCTCAGTGTAAGTGGAAATGTAGCTATAGTGGCCATTTCTATTCGCTGTGGGGCCCTCATTCGTGCCCTCTCAGGGAGCAAGTATCCCTACGGTAGATTCCTGCTCCATTACAGCAATTCACCTGAAGTCAGCATCTCACTCCAGCGTGCTCACTCCTCAGGCTTAAGCTGAAAACCCCGTCCCCCCGCTTGATATCGTTTCTATGCACACTTCATGCTTCCAAAGGTGACGTCGCTTCTCTCTCTGCACTCTACCTCTTTGGGTTAGAGACGCAAAGTATGACGGCATGAACCCTTCCGACTATGGGTTCACTTTAATGTTAATATTTTAGGTTACAAAATTGTTTTAATGAATACTATAAACAGAAGCAACTACAAATGGTTTAGCGATAATTCAATCATCGTAATGTGCATGTTTTCAGTTGGTGCTTTCCATAAGCGATAACGCTCCGATCAAAGTCCGTCCTGCCGTTGGATACACCTAATTGGATTGTAAATTTTGTCATTATTGTAAATATATCGACTTTGACCTAATCGACACATTCATATAATTACTCGTATTTAATGATCCCTCAACCTAATCTTTGATTATTTTACTGGTTGTATAAATGTATAAATGAAGCCTGGTCACGTACAATAACATGACAACACGTAGGACAGCTGCCTATGTGCTCGATTTCATGGCAAACAACCATCCCACGTATTACATTTGATTCACCTTCGGATCATAATTTGTCAAATAGAAAAAATCGGTCGGGCACAGAATCCAGAGCATTCGGGAGTTAGAAGGAAGAGAAGTGTGGTGCCTCTATGGGAGCTCGCATTCGGCCAAGGAAATCAAGGGGACTGTAGGTGCCGATGTTCACTGCTTTTTCCTTGAAGTTACCAACACCAGTAATCGATTCAAGGCTGATTCTCCCAAATCGGCTAACTCCCGATTATGTGCTCTTATGGAGTCGATCTTCCCTCCCGCCTTCTAACTCCTGATTGCTCTTGATTCTGGACGACCTTGAGGGCGAAGGAATGAGTTCAGCTCCCACTCCAGGTAATCACTTCCAGGTTGATTTCCTTATGGAACATTCATCCAGTTCGGCTAATTTCCGAATGTGAGCTCCTATAAAGGCACTACCCTGTCACTGTTCCCAAGAAGGTTGGGGGAAAATTTGGTATCACATACCAGTTTACACAGCGCCCTAGTGGAACAGTCATCATTCAAATATTCTTTTTCATCCAAACCTATTCGGTACCGATCTTTTGCGGTAGAACTTCGCTGGAAGATGGAACTGATCCACTGCTCGTCGACGAGGTAGCAGCACCTCCTGCCAACACGTCATAGACACTTATCTTCTAAATCTGATCTGCTGGTTCAGGTTGACTTTTCGGGATCGACAGACAACCATAGTCGAATTCCTACATTCTCTGGAGGTGAGTAGATTACTATCGATATTTGCCGATGGTTCAACCATCTAATCGATCCATCTTAAATCAAAAACAACTACGAAAACTTGACACAATTTCAATTTGCTATAGATATGGTAGATTCCTTTCTGGATTCCACGAATATTTCCTTCTGAATCCCTTCTTTTCATCAATATCTGAAGGTGTTGTGCATTCCCTTCCCTAGACAACATGACAGTGCCGAAATCTTCCCAAAAGCATACCCGGATAGGTCATTACCGGAAAGAAAACCGATATCAATCGACTGATCCCAGTTCTTGAGGAAAACTGTAATTACTCAGTGCCTAGAATAGGCAGTACCGATAAAAAGCCGCCAAACGGTAACCTCGTCGTTAGATTGACATCCGATCATGTTATCTGATATTACACACAGAGCCCACTTCGTCCGCATTGACGCAACTTGGCCTTACCCTGCCAACGTTGACGCAACACACACCTACCCTACCTGGACACTTGCAGCAGTAGGCCAGGATTCGATAAGCTCCATCAAAAATGGCTAGTCCTAGGACTTGGACGTTTCGTTCGCCCCTTCCTAAGGCTGACTTGTCCCTCCGTTACTCAGCCTCAGAACTGGGGATGCACCAAGTCGTTCCCCGTTCCCCTACCCACGCCCACTGTGTACTCCAGTAATGCGACTGTCAACGGTTTCTTCAGAACTGCTCTTATAGTACTGCAGTACTCCCGGTAAGGTTGAGGTTTTCAATTTTGGGAAGAGCAAGTAACCTTGCCGGAGTGTTATTAGGTCGAGCTCTGTCAGTGGCCACGTCGTAAACGCACGATGGGCTGATTCTCTCATAATCGGGTCAAGTGGCGTAGGGCGCAAATGAGAAAAAGAAACGAAATGCTTTTTCTGTAGCCTTAAGTGTATGATCGAGTCCAGCAGGTCTCGGAGGAACGCCGGGAACGATAAGAACTGAAGTGACTGATGCTGTCGGCCGTCGTCGTGCCGTTTCGCCGATTGCATTCTGCGCCGATCAATCTTTGTTTAACATTGAGAACTGCACGGTGCAGCGCCATTGCCACCGCCACCCGCCACTGCCACCTCCCCTGCCCTTACAATGTGTGTCTCCGATTTTATGGGCACACTGATACAGCTCTAGCTGACGTTGACAACGTAATGTTGGGAGTTTGGCTTTCGGGTGAACGAATGGGCACATTTGAGCCGATTAGCACAGACGGCCAAGCTGTGTTCCGGTCGTATTGCACATTCCGACCAGACATCCCCTACCACCTGTTCTAGTTGGATTCCTTACCATGGCTTACGAATATAAACCGAGGCAACTACATTACCATAAGTCCACAAAAGTAGGGAGAACCATATGCGGTAGCTTCGCCCGCATTCGCACTTTTCCTCTCCCCTTCCCCACTCTATTCGCCCCCTCCGCACACATCCACGACCGCGGACCGCACCCTATCGTGACAACATGTACCTAGCAACTAAAGTGGCGGTCGCGGAATGGGCGACTGTTTCGATATTGATATCACTCGGATATCAGTCCGTGGGAGGTCACCCACAAACGAGCATGTACGAAACGAGAACAACGACTTTACAGTTCATTTCCGTCGTCATGCCCACATCGTCACCACCACCATTCGACGAGACCGAATAGATTGATTGAGCTACCGTCGATAGATAACGCAATCAATAGGATCTCAAAGAGGCCGCGAGCATCGGGGTGTGCCGATCTCCGTCGGCCGTATCGACGTCAATGACACTCAGAAAGAATGCATTGTGTGAAGTACACATAGCAGAGTCCCCATATGCAATGGAATTATGAGAACGTCTCTGTGAACTGTAGAATAGGTCTGGGAACATCATCCCACCAAGCAGCCAGAAAGGCCAAACCACATCCAGGTTGAGCCTATGGACGGGGTGTTTGGAATAGCTGAAATCACTGAGTACACCTTCAACGAAGGGGCCATCTCCACCAAAGACGAGATGTCTAAAACGTCCGGTCGTCCAGGTTGCCCATTTCAAGGACTAATGGCTGAAAGGAAGCGAATTCCAATGGTAAACCCTTGGCGATCGGGGAGATGTCGAGTTCGTCGCGGTAGTTCTATTGATCCAACGTTTGCGCTGACCTTCAATCCACCAACGCTCAAAGACGTTAGCAACAATCCCTCCTAAAGCCTTCAAAAGTCCTACGCCCAAAGCTGACCGTTATTTAGGCATTTAGGAACTGACTGAAGCAAGTTATCTATCTCGTTAGGGCCTATTTCATTTATCTTTTAAAAAGTGGGCTAGCCGTAGTGCGTTTCGAGAGCGATGGCTGAACAGCGTAGCTCGAACTCTCCCCGCTCTCTCGAACTCCCCTCATTCAATCGATCAATAGTCGGTGTGGGCGCCGCTCGGTGGTGTTTAGAGAATGCACCTGGAACAGCCTGAATAAACAGCAATCGTGGCTCACAGGAATCCATCATAGCGGAAAAGATTTCCCATTTACCCAACAGTATCCCTGATATTCACTACCATACCCCTGGCAGCTACAGTAGGTGACCCGCTGAAACTTTAGCCGTATTACATCGTGATGGGACCAGCTGCTATGCAATTAGTCAGCCAGAATTCCTATGAGCACCCATTTCGCTACCCGACATTCTTACAATTCTCTCACACAAATCGAAATGAACCAACCTGAATAACTCCTGTGATGGAGGAAATCTTGTTGAATTTGGGGAAAATGAGAGGGTAAAGAAGGCGATGGGAAAATGAAAGATTCATCCGGTCGAGACAACCAGAATAAGCGCAGCTACAGTGTGCTTATGGTGATGATCTCAGACGGAATCGTCTAGTGAGTAAAAGATGGACGGTTGGAGTTGCGAGACGGGGGATGATAAGGTCGGGGGTTTGTTGGTTCATCGGGGATGTTTTGTGGGTGACCTTGCAGCAGTCGGTATCAGCGCCGCCGACTGAACAAATTGGAGCTGACTCCTCGCGGCCGTCGTAGCCACGACCAGTCTCAGCCGACTGTTACAATACACCCTACAGAAGAACTTCTCTCGAGAATGTGAAGAGAGAAGTCCTTATCTTTTGCGATGTCACCATGCCAGCGAAGAATAGACACCCGGCACGGAAAGCAGGCGAGAAGGACTGATAAACCCATGGGAGGTGATAATCGTGTGTGACAGGAGACACTGACAGCAACTGATAAATGCCCCTCTACGGGAAGATTTCGGCGACAGCCATTCGTTACAGAACAGTGAGTGAGCATATCAAAGACCATTACCCCATCCCTCACAGAAGCGATTATGGGCCCTATAAGAGGTAGTAACCAACCGTTTGGTGCATCGTGAATGTATTGGACGCACTGAGCAGCAACAGCAACGGCGACTGTAGCATGAGCAGGACCAGCATTAGTGAATAGCATAGGAAGGTAGGAAGACAGCCGACCAAACACAGACGAGGCAGTGGAGTCCATTGAAAGGTGTGGTGGGCAGAGCCTAACAGCGACGACCGAGCAGGTTGCCTGCTGCGGAGGTGAGTGGCAGACTGATATTAATGGCGCGGGACGGGGACGGGAAGGGACGGGCTGGCCGCGCCCGCCGCCGACGCCGCCGCCGCCACCGCCTCTGCCCCGCCGCCGCTGACCCCAAGCTAGGACGATAGGCATCGATCTTCTATAATCATAAATCAAGGTCATAAATGTTATCTAGAGAAATGCGATACCAACGTAACGATAGAACAGCTAACAATGATACTGCAAGTATAAATCAATTAATAAAACCTTGAAAATTGACTGGGGCTGTGTAATCTGATCCACAAGAGCGCTCTGTGCCGCTATTGATTGATCAAACAATCGCTATCGCTACATACTGAAATTGCAAAGGCTTCGGAATTTGTTGATTAGCTATTCAATCAATTTTATCACCAAAGGGGTAGGGTAGGTTTCGACCCGAGATTTTGCATGGAGCCCGAGAAACCCTGCTATGAGGATCGCCATGCACTTAAGTTGTACTTAGAATGGGAAAAGTGATTGTAAGGTTAAGGAAGCTTGCCATAGTCTTCAGAGTTGACTACCAATTGTCTGAATACCCTGCCAGCGCCCGGTAAGTCACAAAGTAGATGGTAATGCTCCCTGAGCTTTTGGCTGGCTCAGCATTTCAGCAATTTCCTAGTCCTTTCACTTGTACTCATGGTGGAGAAGCCGTCAAATTGTCCTAGGGGGCTTTTAATGGTCTTTGGTGGACATATCTGCTAATCAAATGAATTCCCGAGTCAGTAGTTCATCTCGGGAAAAGGACTTGTTCGGATGGCCCTGTTGCTTCTCTTGCAAGCACCGCCATCACCGATTTCATTTTCTGAAACTGAAAAAACGTCATTAAGCAGCTTAACAGTACTATTCCTACTGGGTTTGGTCTTCCTATTNTATTGATGAATCCAAGTAAACTGAAGGTAGCCGTTTCTAGTCGCTCAAGATAGGTATTGATTGGCTCATTTATCGGTCGTCAGAACAACTTTAAAACAATCTGCCACATACAGTACGATAGGTAGCAGGAATTCTGCCCAAGAAGAATATCTAGAAGACTGCTGTCAATACCAACTTCTTCCCAGCTGCTTTGTAGCCTTATAGCTTTCTTTTCAGGCGGATCCTAAATGGTTGCGGTCAGAAAGTTCCAGACACTGGCGATGCTGTTTTTTCTACCTCTTTTGGTAGATGGGCCCCTGCACATTCGTTCTCAACTTCACACAAGGGGCTTCATGTATGTTTCTTTATACTCAGCTTCCTACATCTTGCAGGGACTTCATTATTTATGGAAACATACATGGGGCCCCATCTTCCTCGGGTAAGCATGACGTAATCTTTTGAGTTGGAGCTATCTTGAAGCTCTGGTTCGTCATCCTCAATGCAGGGGTGAAGGCTGTCGAGCTTCCAGGGAGGAGAACGAGGTCCGCTCATGAACACATTTCTCTGCAGCCTGAAAATCCGGTCCAAAAAAACTTCAGAAGCAAAGTTTAAGTGGTCTGGCAAAATAAGTCGCTCAGTCGCTCAGAGTCTCAGAATGGTCTTCACAGTCATTTTGTGCCTTCTGTTTACCGGCTGCTTACCATGCATGCCTTCAAATTTGGTTTGGTACGACTGGGGACGAATGGGGAGGATGCATCGTTCGTCGATTAACGGCTGAGTTTGCAAATTCATGTGTCAACCTGGCTTCATTTTTTTCTCAATCATTCTATTTGAGCCAAAGTATGAAAAGATAACAGTGAAAATAGGAAAAGTGGATTTGTATTGGTACTGCCATGATCTTCAGAGTGCCACCACTGAAGCCGACTTTTCAATGAGTGAGCTACTTCTGAATCTGAAAGCATTCATGTCTTCAATTTTATATTATGCCGCAGCTACAGTGAAGATTCTAGCTTGACGACTATTAAACTGTGAGTTGAGTAGGGTACCTTTATGTAGCTAATGTAAACATAGTACCAAGTTCCTCGAAGGGCACCATGTTTGCGTACGGTTTTAGGGCGGTGGACCACAAGCATAGCAACTACGTATTCTTCCAAATGCCTCAGATCTCATGGGCCATCTCTATGGTCAATCGAACAGTCTTATTCTGAAAGCCCATCTGTTTCCAGGAGCAGGGTGCTTTTGATGAAAGTTCGTGTGGTCTGTTTGTGTCTGGGTAGAATGCGGCCATATTCCATCAATCATATGCCATAATCGATTTCGATTGCAAAGTATGTTGTGGTGGTAGTGAAGTGGTGGAAGTGGGCTGAGTATGTGTGTGTGTGTGGGTATATGTGTTGCATATCGGACGATTGATATCCGATTAATATCAGCATTCATATGCATAATGTGTCATCGTTGTATAATCGCCCAATCAAAATCGCCCACACGATCGCATACCGACCGACCGGGGTTCTCAGTGACCTCTACTCCGGCCGAATGACGACTGATAGTGCGCAACTAGTAGCCCAGGATCGATCAATAGAAAATCGACGTATTACAAAGCATTGCTGTAATGCTGTACACAATTTTTTCGTTTCCTGTCAAAAAGCCTCCCGATAGCCGAAAGAGCCATAAATCAGGGAATGCTCCTGCAAAAGCTTTCGTTAGTTTAGTTGAAACACCTCGAAATATGTATCGCTCTGAATTAGATAGCCCAAAATTGGCCTAGTTCGGGTCTGAGGAAAAGGTAAGATAAGGGTGGCTTAACAAATGGTGGAACGATCAGTAAGTGGGTAAACTGGAGAAAAATTGATCGTGTCAAGTGTAGCTCATTTCGTCCGAATAATCTTCGAGCTAACCGTACTGAGCAGCTTCTCGGCAACTTTATGACAGCACGATTAAGTAGCAACAGGTTCGAGTTCCATCCTTGAAATCTACTAAGGGAAGGTGAATTAGCTTTCAAAGATACGCCATGCCTCCTGCATCCGTTCAGGGGAACAGTTAAAGCCTCGTTTCTTTCAACTCGCAACTTGATGGTATCAGTGATCTAACCTGCAGAAGTCAGAACTTGTGCTGCTGTCCACACTCAAAATCCCAGCATTTGATTCTTGTTACTTAAGCCTCAAGAGAGGGATCTATAATAACGTATAAGTCTCACATGAAAGCTGAAATTCTATCATTTAATCAAAAAAATCCCTATTCAGAAAGGTAGCGTTTTTTGGAACTGAGGCGAATGGACATGGTTACGCTTGCTTTCAAATTACATAAGTAGGGAACAAATCTCATGTAAAGTTCCATCGAATTGGGTTGTGATTGATCTCAGAAATCGGATTTGTTCCTCTAGCGGTGATGGATCTATTCTGTCAGCTAGATGTGTCAGTGTCGAAGTCTGTCATCAATCTTTGCTTGAAAGTCTATGTAGACATACATAGGTACTCCTGCCCCTTTCACAATGATGAGCCTGGTACGAGTATCTTTTGAGAAAAATCAAATTTTTTTCTTGAAATACCCCTTTTTCCAAAAATAATACCACCTTCACCAATTTTTTCTCATCTTTCCTGAAGTCGTCTTACACATCAGCAAACACCACTCTCTCATATATGGTCAGGCTGACGTCGCCGAAAACGGCCCTTCATTAGGACTCTCCAAACATTTTCGTCTTGCAATCTTCCTTGCCTACCAAGCTCTCACAGGAGGTTGTGCATCGACCA